TATTTAATTTCATTTATATTTTAGAATATTTAGATGGGAAATGGTCTCACTCCCTTAATGTTATACCAAAACAATGTTGTTGTTGTTGTTGTTAAGTGCCATTGAGTCATAGGCAACTCATAGCGACCCTATGAACAAAAGTCCTCAACACTTGTGTGACTTTCATCCTTTCTCCAGGTTCATAGTGTTTCCGGAGGCAAGCTATTATAGAAGTGAATACCACTCCTTCAAAGCTTGTTTTAATTGGAGGGCACCACCAGACACTGTCCATCATGGATAACCAATATCACATTTGACACATCAGTGTCACAGTGTTAGCTTCACAGCAACCACAAGTTACCTGTATATCAAGTGGACACACTAAGGCTATATGACCTAGAAGAATGTATGACAAAAACAATTTTTCTGTCTACTATTTCTGGCCAATTGATCTCTCTGTTTGTTTACTCTCATTTCCCCAAAATATTCCTATTTCCAAAAATGTAACAGAATGTGTCTGCTATATAAGTTGGTTTTTAAGTCTTTCAAAAATTTCCTATAGTTTATTCAAAGGCAGCAGTAACAACCCTGATTATAAAAAGAAAATGAGTAAAAAAACCTAGCATGAATTCATGTAATTGGTGAGTAATTAGCAAATTTAGATTATGAGGAGTGTGGCATCAGGATTGGAGGAAGTCTTATCAACTACCTATATTATGCAGATGATACAATGTTGTTTGCTGAAGCTGAGGAGGACCTAAAGCATTTGCTGTGGAAGATCAAAGACTGAAGTCTTCAATGTGGATTGAAGCTAAACATCAAGAAGCAAAGATTCTCACCAGTGGGCCAATGAATAACACTATGACAGATGGAGAAGAGTTGAGGTTATTAACAATTTCTGCTTGCTTGACTCCACAATCAACACTCTTGACACCAGCAGTCAGGAAATCAAAAGACAAATTTCACTGGGGAAGTCTGTTCTCAGAGACCTCTTCAGAGTGTTGAGGTGCAATGTTATTAGTCTAGAGAGTCTAAAGTGCACCTGATTTAGGCCATGGCCTTCACAATACATGGTATGCATCAGAGAGCTGGACAATTAATAAGGATGTCAGAAGAATTTATGCCTTTGAGCTGTGGTGCTGGAGAAGAGTGTTTAAGATATCATGCACAGCCAGACAAATAAGTCTGTCTTGGAGAAGGTGAAACCAAGTTTCTCTTTCGAGTCAAGGATTTTGATGCTCCATCTCACATATTCTCAGCACATGGGCAGGAGGGACCAGTCCTTGGAGAAGGATGTACTTGAAAGGGTGGAGGGACAGCATAGGAGAGGAAAACTCCAGATGAGATTGATTGATGCAGTAACTGGGGTGATGGGATTAGGTGTGTTGGAATCAATGAGATTGACTCAGGATAGCTTGGGGTTCAGCACTGTTGTACGTAGGGCTGCTATGAGTTGCAGACAACTTGACTGCACATAACAATAACATCAGCAAAGTTAACAATCTATGTTACGCAGATGACACAACTGTAACTAGTAACAAATCTAAAAATAAATCCCATGCTATGAATCAGGTGAAACGTAAACTAAATCTACATTTAAATATGTTGTTGTTTAATGCCGACATTTAAATATCTGCATCAAGTTATATTATGTGCTGTGCAAAGTAATTATTTTTTATACTTTCTTGGGTGAAAACATTATGTGTCAAGGTGTGTATAATTTTTTACTTGTTAAATTTGCCTAAATTGCTGAAATTAATTTTTATTTACATATTAATCAGATAAAATACCTTTGAGTGGGACTTACATAAATTTCTATGAAATATTTGAGTCTCCTCTTGTTTACATGGAAATTAGAGTTTTGTTATTAAACTAAGGAAATAAACCCCCAATTAAACACTTGAGAAAATGGAGGGTTTTTGTATGTTTCTGTGAATTTACACTGTGACTTAGATCTTTTCATTTTCTTCAGCTCTTCTACCTCACTTGGTATCTATATGTATGTTCATGTACACACACATTTCTTCTGTACTCATAGAATTCAATTATCCTAGTCAACCTAATACTGGCAGTACAGGTAAAAGTTTTGAAGATCTAATGATGGACAATTAATAAGGATGACAGAAGGAGAATTGATGCCTTTGATTTGTGGTGTTGGAGAAGAAGACAAAATATCCCATGGACTGCCAAAAGAATGAACAGAAATGTCTTAGAAAAGATGCAGCCAGAGTGGCAAAGCTTCCTCTCTTATACTTTGGACATGATACTAAGAGAGGCTATTCCTTGGAAAAAGCCATCATGCTTGCAAGGGTGTAGAGTCAGTGAAAGAGAGGAAGGCCCCAACCTAGATGATTAACACAATCACTTCAGCAATAGATTCCAGAATATCTGAGATGGTGATGACGGCACAGGATTCCAATCTTTTGCTCATAGGGTTGTCATCAGTTGTACTTGACTTTGCTGCACCTAACAACAATGATGGACAAACTCCTCCTGTGAAATTTACAGCCTTACAACTGACTCCCAGGATCAGCTATGAGTCAGTTCTGACTTGCCAGCAATGAGTTGCTAAAAGGAATTTTATGAAGAACTTGGGAATCATAAGCATATTCTATTGTCTGTTCTTAATTGACAAATTACCCTTTTTGTTTGTTTTCAGTAAATTATTGTGGTTCTAGTTAACTTGTTGGACTGGTAACTTAAAGACTGGAGGTTTAATTTTATCAAGTGTACTTCAGATAAAAAGTCTATTCATATAATTTCAAAGCACTGTTCAATGAAAACCTAACACTGTTCTATCCTGACATTGCATGAGGTTGTCATGAGTCAGTATTATAACTGGATGACAACTACTGTTTCTTTAAAAATTATTGTTGTTAATTAATGATGTTTATTATGGCAGTTTATATTTTACAATGTAAGTTTTGTAACTTTAAGGTACAGTTAAAATGCCAAGGAGTAATGCGTGGTCCTTTGTTAGTGATTGCTACTTGTAAGGTACTGACTTTTACTGGTGGACTTCCCCTTGTTTAGAAAATTGTTGAAATAACATGAACTCAAAGTTTTTACTAATTTTCATTGTGTCACAATGAACTAATAACTGATCTTCCAGTGGATTTCAAGGCTGTCCATCACATAAGAGGAGATTGCCTAGCTTTCTTCCTTGGAGCTGCTGGTACATTTGGACCACCAGAGAGGAATAGAAGTTGGATTAGAAGTACTATTTCCTATGAACTATGCTACCATAGCTTCCTATTTACATGCTAGTGCTCCAGAATATTATTCTAAGTCAAAGTTTTTGTTAGAGTTAATATTTTATATTCACTTGTATTATTGTTGTTGTTGTAGTTGCTATAGAGTCAAATATGACCTATAGCAACCCTATGAATAGATAGTGTCCTATTCATTGCCATCCGCACACTTCCTGATACACTTAGAACCATCATGGTCATCACTGTGTCATCTCACCTAGATGAGGGTCTTCTTCTCCTTCACTATCCCTCCACCTTTCCAAGCAAGATGTCCCTCTCCAAGGAGTAGCCTCTGTTAACAACATGCCTTAAGTATGTGAGATGACGCTTTATTGTCTTTGCCTCCAGGGAACACTCTGGCTGCACTTTCTCCAGACATATTTGCTTGTTCTTTTGGCCTTACCCAGGATATTCAGTACTCTTCTTCAACACTCCAGCTCAAAAGACATGAATTTTTCTGTCATCCTTATTCATTGTTCAGCTCTCAGATGCATAGCAAGTGATCAGAAAGATCACACACACACACACACACACACACACACACACACACACACACCCCTTAGTCCTGAAACTGATATCATTTCTCATCAATGATCAGAGAGGTCCCTGACTGTAGACTTTTTCCCAGGCAGTATGTGTCCCAAATTTCTGACTGCTTCTATCAAGGGTGTTGATTGTGGATCTAAGTAAAATGAAGTTGTTGACAGTTTAAGTCTTTTCTCCACCTATCATTATGTTATTTATCAATCCAGCAGTGAGAATTTTTGTTTTCTTGATGTTGAGGTGTAATCCATATTTAAGGCTGTATTCTTTGGCCTTCTGCAATAAGTGTTTTAATATCTCCTCACTTTTAGCAAGCAAGGTTGTAGCATCTCCATAACACAGTTTACTGATGAGAATAACATGTATTCTTTACCTATATAGAGCATGTATATTTTTTCTCAACGTCTAAATTGTAACTCTTGGTTGAACTATCAATATAGAGAAAGATAGATAGATAGATAGATAGATAGATAGATAGATAGATAGATAGATAGATAGATGATAGATAGATAGATATCCAGATCAATTCTACTGTCCCTCTGGTAGCTTCATGTAAAAAGATGGAAAGTTGTCTAGTCTTGAGTTAACCTCATAGTTGTAGATGATTTGAGTCAATCCTTACAGCAATTGTGTCACTCCTTCTCTTCAAATGTCCTTCTTGTCCTGTGACACTCCACTTTGCCAATAATGAGGTTTTGCTCTAATGATTGATGACCTGTTGAGAGCAAGTAAATCAGAAAAATTCTACAGTGAGCCAAAAGCTTTCATTGATAAATTTTTTAAAGACTTTTGCTAGATCTTTCTTTTTAGTCTCTCTTAGTCTAGAAGCTCTCTTCAAATCTGTCAAACAAGGTTAAGGCTGTTGGAATTTTACATGCCAGGCTATCAAAACAGATGATCCTTTTATATTCACTTATAATAACTTATTATAGTTACAATTTATCTAATATTTTACTATTACACTCATTACTCTGTTGGTTTTGGTTGGTTAGGTTTTTTTAATCTAGTAGGGTCAAAAGTTTCTTCACTGGCATCCACATTGATAGATTTATGTCCTAAATTGATAAGATTATGTCTATACTCTTCCATTCAATCAACAACCTCCTGCTCTTTATTTATTTACAAGACCCTGTATTGCACACCGTATCAAGTGAGAATCAACTTTTGCCTACATAATTCTTCTCTTTATTTCTGAAATACAAGAATATTTTTCCCATTTTACCTGCTCTATACATATCTAGGTTTGCTGCAAATCCACTTCATATCAACAATCCCCCGTGAACTATAGACACCAGCAGCACTCAGAAAAGCAAAAGATCCATTTCCTTTAATATCAAACCTGAAAAGAAAAATCCAAAATAAGTCTCAAATCTACCTACAATCTTAACTTAAAATTAAAATTAGAGTGATTTGAACACACTGGTTAAAATTTTGAACACCAAATATCTTCATCCATCATTGCTTATATCCTAACAAAATCCATAATAAAAATATCTGCTTTAATTAAAAAGTTAATCGGAATGTAGGTGTTTGTTGGAAATAGAACTTGTCATTTTACTTACTCGATAGCTCTGGTGGCCTAGTGAGTAAGGATTTGTGCTGTTAACCCAAAGGCAAATGGTTCAAAACCACCAATTCCTCCTTGGGAAAAAATTGGGAATTTTTCCTTTCCAGGGTTTTTACAGCCTCTGAAAATCTATTGGAGGGCCATTTATTAGTTGATTCCAACTTGACAGCAAAGAGTGAGTGAGTGAATCTTATTTACTGCAATGTGTAGATAGATTCTAGATAGGTAGATGAAGAAGACAAAAATATAAGTCTATCTATATTTACCCACCTATATATATTTGTATCTATCACAACTCAATAGTCACTTAGATTATTTATCAAGAGAATTTGCTAAAGCCAAGAATATCTAGTCATTATACTTATTAAAGGAATACATAATAAATTTGAAACATAATTGAGATGATAATGGCTTTAATGATTCTTAAATTATTATTATTATTATTATTAATTGTCTCTATTGGTAATCAAGTGGGTTTTTTGATCATTAATATAATTGACTTTATCTTATTTATTTAAATATAACTCTGTTTCTCATGTTTAGATTTTTTTGTTTTGTTTTTAAAAAAATTCTCAAGTACTAAAATAATGATTCAGAAATACTTGCATGCAAAAGAAAATTTTACTCCTCTGTTTCTGAAAAATAGCATACACTTAGTGAGACAAGACATTCATTTAAGAAAAAGCTCATTAAGTATTTACGATGTTTATAATAGGAGTTTGAAAATATAGAGATGACTTTGAATTTCTAACTATTCATAGAAGAGATTTTGTATAATAGTAACTAATTGGAAAGAACTGTAAGTAATTATTGAGTTTTGGGTGACCAAATGCAAATGAGTCGAATTTGAATTCACAAAATAGAGGGTATTAACCTGAATTTAAACTGAAAAGTATGAAAAAATTCTCTATTTCTTCAACATAGTAAAAAGTATCTATGAAAACCCAAGAGCCAACATTGTTCTTAATGGAGAGAGGTTAAAGGCATTCCCTTTAAGAACAGGAAC